TATGGTGTCACGAAGAAAGCGCCCAGCGAAAAAGCGAACTGTAAAGAGAGGGAAATTTGAAGAAAGCGCAATGCCATGCACACAGAAAAAAAAGTTGAATTAGCAGGAAACCCACTGGTCCGACACTCTCCGACACGTCACCTTCCGTCAAGACTCCGACACCTTCCGACAAAATTACTTTCCATTATTTTAAATGGACTGTAACCCACTAGTCAGACACGACACCTTCCGATCCGACACGTCACGACAACATTGCTCTTTGGGGCATTCTTGTCGGATGTCGGATCCGCCATTTCTCCACTCTGCGTGCACCAGGCCTAGATTTACTGTCTAGCTTTGTGTATGATCACAATATGTGGAACGGATATGGAACATGTGATCACAAGAGTGTGATGTTTTTGTACAATTATTGGTTACGGAGAAAATTCAAAGAATTTTTATTTTAAAATTCCCATGTTATTCTTATGGAGAATATTATAAAATATTGTAAGTTTGCTTTCTGATGGATATATTTTGATCAGCACACTTGGTAAATTTCTTTATTTCATACTTAGGGCCTAGTTATTAATACTTTACTAAAAACCACACTTTTTACCCTCCCTGTAGCAGCAATCCTAGGTACTTATAAAACCAAATGTTAATTAAATACACTTAATTGAAAATCAATTCAGGTAAATAGAAATTTGCTTAGTCGGCAGGTTTGCTGCGACGGGGGTATTATTGTTTACGTTTTGTACTGTACTTTTTGCTAATTTTTCTGTAGTACGGTACAGTAAATGTTACCGGAATTATCAAGGTGGGTCTAGGCCCCCCATACACGTAACGATCGGCCGGCCGGCGAGAGCCGGAAGGCCAAACTGAACAGTTTGGCCTGTCAAAGGAGAGTCCCCATACACGCAACGATTCGCCTGCCGGCCGGACTGAAGTTTCTCCGCATAGTGGTAAAGTGTGCAGTCAGTTTTCGTACGGCAAAAACGTTTTGGTTAACTTGCTATAAGCTGCATCTTTTAAGTCCCTGTTGTTGTAGTTGTGGTATGCCTTTGTTTTGACCCTCCACCGACATTCATGCTCTCTGTATTCTTCTATAAAGGCTAGCACATGCTGATTAGTCCACGTAGCCATATTAGTACAAAGACTGAACAGAAAATAATGTTAGGTTATGTTAATGACCGTGCTTAAAAATTAACGTAAATCAAAAATAATGCTACTACTGTACTGTCGGCCTTCCGGCGGCCTGCCGGCGACCCCATACACGTAACGATCGGCCTGAAGGCGGGGGTTGGCCGGACGACGACTGATGGGAATCCCATCAGTCGTCGTCCGGCCAATTTGGTCGTCCGGCGGCCGGACGACGACCCCATACACGTAACGATCGGCCGGCCGGCGTGGACTGTTCAGGCCGGGCCGGCCGGTACACAAAGGTCTACCATTGTAAGAGATCGTCATAAATGTTATGGACTTTTTTCATTATTTGCTCCCTAACTACTGCTTGTGAACAGTATGTGATCACATGTTCCATCGCAACTGGCACTGTTAAGAGTGGTGGTGTATTTCTCGTCGGAGGCCTACTGTCGGAGCCCGTCGGACCAATGGGTTAATGCCTTAAAATTGCGGAAGGTGTCGGAGACTTGACGGAAGGTGTGTCGGAGAGCGTCGAACTAGTGGGTTTCCTGATTACTGAAACATCACACTTTACAGGCTTTGGACTGGCTAAATGATTAATATTAAATCACGTACTATGATGATGATCACGTTTAAAATCAGCATGAATACAGCTTCGTCACAAGTTCCTTTGCGCCTGTCACACATTCTTTATAAGTTACTTCGTTCAAATGTAATGGAGTAAAATGTTAACATAGGCAATCCCCACTAAATCTTGCCCATCCGATTTCAGTACATCTCAGCCAACAAAGATGCACTGTAGATCAGGCTCTGGTCACAGAAAACGTAGGCTACTACTGTACGTTTTCTGTGCTCTGGTGGACCTGGTAAAATCAAAATTTCCCTCGGATTACATTAGCTTGCGTTGTTGAGAGTAAGAACAAGAACTATCGAGGGCTAGCTAATTGAGCCATTTTTGATAGAGATAGTTAGGCTACAAGCTTTAACAAAAACCGTTATGGGGACGTTATATATGTACTCGTATGGTGAAGTGTTGTATTCATCATTAAAATTGTTCTGAAGTTGTTACGTTGACTGGAGGTTATAGCATTGACTATCAATAGTCAAAGGTTATAGGTAGTATATTTTTTAATTCAAATTTTATTTAGTAAAAATATAATTTGTTTACTTTTTTGTTTGCTCCGCTCAGTTGGCGGACCTGACACCGGACACCTAGTACAAAATACTGACTAGTGAATTGCGCTTAAATGCGGAAGATTTTATGAACGCATTTCAGATTAAATCAATGGTTATAAACACATTAATTTTGGTATTACAGTAGTTTGCGTGTTAGGTAAGAACCGTGTTTCGAATGTTTATCTGACGGTCTGTAAATACCACTGGAACGTCAATGAGGTAATGGAAATTCCAGCACGTACTTAAGATTATACTACCTTGTATGAAGTCACCCAGACCACTATCTCAATACTTAAGAAGATAACTTGGAATCCCGCCTGCTCATATTGGCATGTAGAAAAGAATGTTTGCGCTGATATTTACAAATGTATAAAATTAATTTTTCCTACAGTCACCCGACAAAGTTGGCTTCCTTGTACTGTTTATAGTACAGAAAGCTGCTAATTGCTTCATATTTATACTTTTCCGTACGGTTTATACTTTGCCGCACATCAGGATTCCAACGAAACAACACAAAACAGCGTGGTTCTATTATGCACGTAATCCGTGTACGCTTGGAAATAGGTTGGCAACACTTAAAGATAATAATACTATGAGCAGCTGATTGACTATTATAACTACGATTTAACCTGTCATTTCGTGTTTATAATTTCGGTATTTCTGAACTTTCTGGACTTTTCTTTTAAACGTTTTTAAAACATTCCTACGATCTTAATAAACAAGAAAATACCTTTAAAGCATTTTATTAGGCGTGGAAACCACTTCAAATTACAAAAACATACGGAACTATATTCTCAAAACGCGGAGCACATTTCTTGCCGAGTAAAAATAGCGGAGTGATACGGATCACGGGTACTACTTTCTCTAGGGCACCTATTTGTGTTGCCAGCTGAACCTAAAACGTGTTGTATAGTGTTTGAAAGACTAATTATTTATATGCTTTATAGTGACTGTAGGAAAAATATAATGTGTAACACGAGTGAAAAAGGCCTTTGCTGCACTCGAGATCATTCCGCACTCGCCTGCGGCTCGTGCGTAAACATTGCTCTCGTGTGCAGCAAAGTGCCACTTTAACCACTAGTTACACAAATAACTATTTCCTACAGTCACCCGACAAAGTTGGCTTCCTTGTACTGTTTATAGTACAGAAAGCTGCTAATTGCTGCATATTTATACTTTGCCGTACGGTTTATACTTTGCCGCACATCAGGATTCCAACGAAACAACACAAAACAGCGTAGTTCTATTATGCACGTAATCCGTGTACGCTTGGAAATAGGTTGGCAACACGATAATAATACTATGAGCAGCTGATTGACTATTATAACTACGATTTAACCTGTCATTTCGTGTTTATAGTTTCGGTATTTCTGAACTTTCTGGACTTTTCTTTTAAACTTTTTTAAAACATTCCTACGGTCTTAATAAACAAGAAAATACCTTTAACGTATTTTTAAGGCGCGGAAACCACTTCAAATTACAAAAACATACGGAACTATTTTCTCAAGTCGGAGCACATTGCTTTCCGAGGAAAAAATAGCGGAGTGATTCGGACCGGTACTACTTTCTCTAGGGCACCTATTTGTGTTGCCAGCTGAACCTAAAAACGTGTTGTATAGTGTTTGAAAGACTTATTATTTATATGCTTTATAGTGGCTGTAGGAAAAATATAATGTGTAACACGAGTGAAAAAGGCCTTTGCTGCAGTCGAGATCATTCCTTAGGTAAACATTGCTCTCGTGTGCAGCAAAGTGCCACTTTGCTCACTAGTTACACAAATAACTATAGATTTTTTTGGTACGGTCTTTATAGCTTTTTCAAAAGATATAGAGTGATGAACATTGTCGCTCACATTGTTTTTATTTAATTCTTTTAGGGTGTTGGGGCTTAATAACCCTGAGCTTGACCTTTCAAGTACCTTAGTGGCCCGTTTCGTTCTTTCAGAAACCAACAAAATCCTAAACGTATTCCAGCCAGTAACAATGGTCCTGCCTTTGTGTTACAAAGTCAAATTCAGATCTTCAAGCGTAGTAAGCGCTTCATCTAGATTGTGGGGTAGAGAGTACCTGGCAGTAAGTGTTCGTAAAAGGTAATCGTCCACTATATGGGTTATGGAGTTTCATCCCCATAGTCACAAGACTGTTCTGGCATCTGTCGTCACTTGAATTCCTCGAAATTCCTCTTACCTACTAACTGAATCGTTCACTGGTTCTGGTATTCGTTTAAAACAACGATTAACTAATACATATTCAAACAAAAAGTGGATGTATGTGAGATGATTGAACTCGTATCTTTGTTACTGACTAAGTTTATAAAGCAATTGTTTAAGTCAGCTTCAGTTAAATAATTGGGTCTAGACATTTTCAGCGTTCAGTGTTTTTCTCAGGACAAAGATGGGAATTTTCTTATCATCTCCGTGCTTCTTGAGCAGTTCAGTAAACACAGTACCCCATACGTTGTGAAGAGCTTTGAACAACAAAAAGACCGGTGTCTTCATAAACAGACGTGAATACTGTTTGGGTAGATGTTTGTCAAGTTCTCATTGAAAAAAATAAGGAAGGGGTATTATACTAATGTGTTACTTTTAAATGTATGATTCTGTTGTCGTGTGTTATTACGTCCATATTGTAGCACAATAAGCGATGTTTATATCTTGAATGAACTGTTGTTGCTGTGTTGTAACATTCATGTTGTTGTTGCAGGTCGGAAGTCACAGTAACACTCGGGATGTAGCACAGTATGCGCAGTGGGACCGTAAGCGCCCCCGTGCAGTCTTGTGGTTTTGGATTGTCCGCTCCCAACGCTCGCTACGCAGCTGTTCAGCTTTTAACCAATCAATTTTTGTACTTCATTGTTGAGGTAAGTTCACGTACAAGTAGCGGTATAGTAGTAATATTAATTTTGTATTAAAAGGGGTGGTTGTATCTATGGAGGATGTGTCCAGCAGCTAGTGGTCTCCATTGCACTATGGCGTGTGTAGTCGTAGGCATCGTCTACTAATGGTCTCCCTCCATCGCTCTATGGAGTGTGTAGGCATCGTCTACTTGTGGTCTCCCTCCATCGCTCTATGGAGTGTGTAGGCAGCGACTAGTGGAGTTGCCTTCATCGCTCTATAGAGTGTGTAGGCAGCGTCTAGTGGCCTCCATTGCTCTATGGAGTGTGTAGGCAGCGTCTAGTGGCCTCCATGGTTCTATGGAGTGTGTTGGCAGCGTCTAGTGGCCTCCATTGCTCTATGGAGTGTGTAGGCAGCGTCTAGTGGCCTCCATGGTTCTATGGAGTGTGTTGGCAGCGTCTAGTGGCGTCCATTGCTCTATGGAGTGTGTAGGCAGCGTCTAGTGGCCTCCATGGTTCTATGGAGTGTGTAGGCAGCGTCTAGTGGCCTCCATTGCTCTATGGAGTGTGTAGGCAGCGTCTAGTGGCCTCCATTGCTCTATGGAGTGTGTAGGCAGCGTCTAGTGGCCTCCATTGCTCTATGGAGTGTGTAGGCAGCGTCTAGTGGCCTCCATTGCTCTATGGAGTGTGTAGGCAGCGTCTAGTGGCCTCCATTGCTCTATGGAGTGTGTAGGCAGCGTCTAGTGGCCTCCATCGCTCTATGGAGTGTGTAGGCATCGTCTACTTGTGGTCTCCCTCCATCGCTCTATGGAGTGTGTAGGCAGCGACTAGTGGAGTTGCCTTCATCGCTCTATAGAGTGTGTAGGCAGCGTCTAGTGGCCTCCATTGCTCTATGGAGTGTGTAGGCAGCGTCTAGTGGCCTCCATTGCTCTATGGAGTGTGTAGGCAGCGTCTAGTGGCCTCCATTGCTCTATGGAGTGTGTAGGCAGCGTCTAGTGGCCTCCATGGTTCTATGGAGTGTGTAGGCAGCGTCTAGTGGCCTCCATTGCTCTATGGAGTGTGTAGGCAGCGTCTAGTGGCCTCCATGGTTCTATGGAGTGTGTAGGCAGCGTCTACTAGTGTTCTCCCTCCATCGCTCTATGGAGTGTGTAGGCAGCGTCTAGTGGCCTCCATGGTTCTATGGAGTGTGTAGGCAGCGTCTACTAGTGTTCTCCCTCCATCGCTCTATGGAGTGTGTAGGCAGCGTCTAGTGGCCTCCATTGCTCTATGGTGTGTGTAGGCAGCGTCTCGCCGTCTAGTGGCCTCCATTGCTCTATGGAGTGTGTAGGCAGCGTCTAGTGGCCTCCATTGCTCTATGGAGTGTGTAGGCAGCGTCTCGCCGTCTAGTGGCCTCCATTGCTCTATGGAGTGTGTAGGCAGCGTCTAGTGGCCTCCATCGCTCTATGGAGTGTGTAGGCAGCGTCTAGTGGCCTCCATTGTTCTATGGAGTGTGTAGGCAGCGTCTAGTGGCCTCCATCGCTCTATGGAGTGTGTAGGCAGCGTCTAGTGGCCTCCATTGTTCTATGGAGTGTGTAGGCAGCGTCTCGCCGTCTAGTGGCCTCCATTGCTCTATGGAGTGTGTAGGCAGCGTCTAGTGGCCTCCATCGCTCTATGGAGTGTGTAGGCAGCGTCTAGTGGCCTCCATTGTTCTATGGAGTGTGTAGGCAGCGTCTAGTGGCCTCCATCGCTCTATGGAGTGTGTAGGCAGCGTCTAGTGGCCTCCATTGCTCTATGGAGTGTGTAGGCAGCGTCTAGTGGCCTCCATCGCTCTATGGAGTGTGTAGGCAGCGTCTAGTGGCCTCCATTGTTCTATGGAGTGTGTAGGCAGCGTCTAGTGGCCTCCATTGCTCTATGGAGTGTGTAGGCAGCGTCTAGTGGCCTCCATTGTTCTATGGAGTGTGTAGGCAGCGTCTAGTGGCCTCCATTGCTCTATGGAGTGTGTAGGCAGCGTCTAGTGGCCTCCATCGCTCTATGGAGTGTGTAGGCAGCGTCTAGTGGCCTCCATTGTTCTATGGAGTGTGTAGGCAGCGTCTCGCCGTCTAGTGGCCTCCATTGCTCTATGGAGTGTGTAGGCAGCGTCTAGTTGCCCCCATTGCTCTATTCTAGTGGCCTCCATCGTTCTATGGAGTGTGTAGGCAGCGTCTAGTGGCCTCCATTGCTCTATGGTGTGTGTAGGCAGCGTCTAGTGGCCTCCATCGTTCTATGGAGTGTGTAGGCAGCGGCTAGTGGCCCCCATTGCTCTATGGAGTGTGTAGGCAGCGTCTAGTGGCCTCCATTGCTCTATGGAGTGTGTAGGCAGCGACCAGTGGCCTCCATCGCTCTATGAACTCCATCGCTCTTTTTAGTGTGTAGACAGCGTCTAGTGGCCTCCATCGCTCTTTTTAGTGTGTAGGCAGCGTCTAGTGGCCCCATTGCTCTATGGAGTGTGTAGGCAGCGACCAGTGGCCTCCATCGCTCTATGAACTCCATTGCTCCATGGAGTGTGTAGGCAGCGTCTAGTGGCCTCCATCGCTCTTTTTAGTGTGTAGACAGCGTCTAGTGGCCTCCATTGCTCCATGGAGTGTGTAGGCAGCGTCTAGTGGCCTCCATCGATCTATTGAGTGTGTAGGCAGCGTCTAGTGGCTTACATTGCTCTATGGAGTGTGTAGGCAGCGTCTAGTGGCCTCCATCGCTCTATGGAGTGTGTAGGCAGCGTCTAGTGGCCTCCATTGCTCTATGGAGTGTGTAGGCAGCGTCTAGTGGCGTCCATTGCTCTATGGAGTGTGTAGGCAGCGTCTAGTGGCCTCCATTGCTCTATGGAGTGTGTAGGCAGCGTCTAGTGGCCTCCATTGTTCTATGGAGTGTGTAGGCAGCGTCTAGTGGCCTCCATTGCTCTATGGAGTGTGTAGGCAGCGTCTAGTGGCCTCCATTGCTCTATGGAGTGTGTAGGCAGCGTCTAGTGGCCTCCATTGTTCTATGGAGTGTGTAGGCAGCGTCTAGTGGCCTCCATTGTTCTATGGAGTGTGTAGGCAGCGTCTAGTGGCGTCCATTGCTCTATGGAGTGTGTAGGCAGCGTCTAGTGGCGTCCATTGCTCTATGGAGTGTGTAGGCAGCGTCTAGTGGCGTCCATTGCTCTATGGAGTGTGTAGGCAGCGTCTAGTGGCCTCCATTGTTCTATGGAGTGTGTAGGCAGCGTCTAGTGGCGTCCATTGTTCTATGGAGTGTGTAGGCAGCGTCTAGTGGCCTCCATTGCTCTATGGAGTGTGTAGGCAGCGTCTAGTGGCCTCCATTGTTCTATGGAGTGTGTAGGCAGCGTCTAGTGGCGTCCATTGCTCTATGGAGTGTGTAGGCAGCGTCTAGTGGCGTCCATTGCTCTATGGAGTGTGTAGGCAGCGTCTAGTGGCCTCCATTGATGGGAAGATGCGCCGGAAGCTGACCAGTCTCTATGTCGGTCAACGACATTGCTGTCGATGATTTTGCAAATTCGATCCTCAACTAAGTCGACGGTCCACAGCCTGATTGGGCTCTTGGTTTTATGAATGAACGGCGGTTCTTGTCACCACGTGCGTGTTAGTTGGAGTTGACTGGTTTCTCCAAATTGGGAATAACTATGACAAAGTGTCAAGACAGTTATATTTTAACCAAATTTATCCTGTACTACTGGGCTTTTTATTTAGGTATGTGCGTTTGATGAAGCATAAGGGCGGGAACACACTCACCTCATCTCGTAAGATTTTTTCACGGGTGTTACCCTTGGTTTTAACCGATACAATACAATACGGTATGGGACAGGTCACACTAGAGTAAAAACGTCCGTGATCGTATTAACTTTCCTAGGAAGTTTTTCTTACGAGGTAAGGTGGGTGGAATTGTACGTGCATTTAATTCCACTGGTAGTGGGGTATTGTGGCTTAACGGCAGGATCATTTTACGATATACGATAATTTCACGGGCATTCTGGTTTTAGATATCATGTTGGGTTTTAGCACATATTAAAAAGAGGACAGTGGTTTTAGTTAATTACGTAGTGTTAAAATGTTTACATAAACGTGTAATTGTATGATCAACTTGATGCACATTTAATTTGAACAATATTTTACAAACGTTAAATTTATTTCATTTTATTTCAAGAGCATTATTTTTTGGAGTGCATTATTGGTAGTCTGTTGGCTGGCAAGTAAATAACAGTACGTTCTCTCCAAATCTCAATTAACTCCTTTATTTAAAATCCATTAACACCGAAGCTAGGGAAAGCTGTAGACCATTTCGACTGGTCAAAGAATTTTAGGAATTCTTAAGGTATCGTGGAATTTCATCTAGATTCGAGCCAGATACTGAACCTGTTCCGGTGGAGAGAATTCGGCCTTCATTGTCGTTGGTTTCTAAATTCCTCAACGTCTACGCATCCCATGTCCAGACCATCCGCAGCAGTTTTTTGCTTGATTCTAAAATGCGGTGTACTCAACATAATATGGAAAAACTCAAACATCAGATAGTTTTCACAGTACAAGTAGTACAATAATAAACGCCACCTTTTGATTGTTAGGCAGCACTATAACCTCTCAGCTACCCAGCCAATCTAAATTGTTATTACAGTTTTTGGTTATAATAGTAATCTTGTAATGCTGTGCACTGTGCATATAGCAAAAAATTTGGAAAACCATATTGGAAATTTTTACAAAGATGCAGGTGAGTTAATGAAATATTTGTTTTCAACTTGTTTAAATATATTTGTGTCAAAATCGTTCAGTTTAAAAATACAAATACAAGTTGTTAATTTTTATCGACAGCATTATTGTATTTGGTCGTGTGTTGTTGTGTATTCCTCAGCACACAAGGCAGGTACGTGCGGTCGTGTGGACGCAGACGTATTTAAAGTGACCTTACTAAATGGGACCAAGGCAGGCAGCAAGGTTCACCGCTCATTCCTCGAACATTCATTATACCATAGCTCTGAATTTAAATTGATTAAACCTAATCCTTTTAAATCATAACATGCTTGTCAAGTGGACCCGCATGTCTTAAGGTAGTTCGTGTTTTTAAATTCTTCAACTAAACATCGGTAAAAACCACCTACCTACCTGTAGCTTTAACGCTTATAGGGCTACAGAATCTCAATCCAAGGAACATCAGTCGAAAACCACGTAATCAAGCATTTATATACATTAATAGACAATTATGTTCTTTAAAACATTTTTCTCAGCTCGTGTGCATCGCTGGGAAAATCTACGCATACTGTTAGAAAGGTATTCCTATAGATGTGCAGAATCTCTTATAAATTCAAATAGGCTCAAAAATAAGTACAGAAAATTAATATTAAACAAAGAAATAACATGGGCCTTACGGGTTTCCATGTTGGTGACTTAAGACGAAAAAACAACAAAATATAAACAGAAAATCTAAACAAATGGAAGAAATTAAAATCACATGTTTTATTTACAGCGTAGGGTGAAAATAGAGAAGCATTACATATTTTTGGTATAGTTTTCGTCCACTGGACGACCTCTAGTTACACGAAAACAGTACTGTGTAGTCGGGTGTTCTTGAATTGCGCCAACTACTCCAGGGAGCCACCCGATACGTTCCTTTTGTATAATCGAGTAGGTTAGGTTAGGCTAGGTAGATTATGTTAGTATAACCATTGACAAGGATTTATAGTCAATGGTATAACACGTAAACAAGGACATTCCTTCTGTCGGCAAATCACCCCAACCTGGCTTGGGCTTGGCGCAACTAAGGCTAGGCGCACACGAGCGATTATTTTGAGGCGACTATTTCATCGGCCAATCTGTGCATCATGTATTTGAATGGAAGCGCGCACACAGGCGATCGAGAATTGCGCCGATTTTAAAATCTGGGTTTTGCCACAGATTCGTAGGCGAGGCGATTGTCGCCCGAAAATCTGTAACGTACAGGTTGTTATCAGTCCGCGCACACGGTCGACTAAAAAATCGGCCAGTCGCTTGTTGTTCTCCTCAGGAGTGGTGTGAGTTGTGTTGTTTTCTTTGCTAAAAAGGCCACAGCTGTTATTTTAAGAACTTAAACTTTCAACAGACATTAAACAGTAATTAAAGAACTTTTTACTGTCATCACGTAAAGTGTATAGTTTATAAAACTGTCGATTTTAAAGTCTCTGACTTACTATCGGTTGAACCCAATATTTAAGTTGTCTTCTTTTTTTCTTTGGTCTAATTAGAAGAGCACAAACACAGGTTAATTCAACAAAGTTCATTTTAGGATAGCTTAAACGCACTCAAAAAAATCAATTTCTCGACTAAAAAATCGCCACGTGTGCGCCTAGACATAAATCAAGGGCGATTTATTTTTGGCCGATTTTTTAATCGGCCGATCGAAAAATCGACCGTGTGCGCTAGGCCTAAGAACATTGTTTTAGACCCTTTGAGAGCTTGGCGCAATTAGTGCACGACCTTCATGTTTAGCGAATTCTACTGTATAAAGCCGTTGTTCCTTGGTACATATGGAACAACCATCTTGATCCTTTTTACAAGTCTGGGACCATTGAACTTGTTCGTTTTAGAGCCCACCAGGAGCAAAGGAGCAAAACATAAGACACTGATTTAGAAATACTACACAGTGTTTGGTAAAAAAAAATGAAAAATAAACAATCAAATGTAACCCTCATTCTATCTATTCATGCTTTTTATTTGACGAAGAACATTTAGCTTCTCAAGAGAAAATTGCTTAGACTTTCTTTGGCATTTTAGGTTAATGTATTGCAATATTTGACAATTCGTAAGCTTCTAGGGTGACAAAAAGCTTCATATAGACAGATTTATCCGTAATTAGTCATGACAATGTTATTATTTGTATGCTTGTGGAGGTTTAAGAAAGGCCTCGACACTCTATTATAATGTTTCAAAGGAAACTATAGTTTCATCATACAGCTGTGCATACAAGTGAAAAGATAAATATATATGTAAGAGACGTGAAGGGAGGTGCAAGCCAACATGCATAACTAGGCAGGCTCTTCGTTTGGTTGTAAAACATTCCTGAAATAAGCTCACGCTTGATTCAGCCACCGTTTGTAAAATGGTCTAACGAGACCGGCTTTATCACAGGAACTGGAAAGGATGGAAGCCAAAATTTAAGTAAAAAAATATAGTTATAGGAGTAATTAGAAACGCACTTTGAAATCAAGTAAGATAAAGACTATAGAGACTGCAATATTGTGGCAAAAAGTAATGTTATATTTAAGTAACAAAAATGCTAGTTTATTGAAGCATATTCTCGTCCACAGGTGAACTATCCAATGAACCGTCCTCTCCATATTTTTCACTTCGTTAATATTTCAGTTGAGAAATTGAGAACTGCGTTGAGTACGTTTGATGATTGAAATCCTGTCAATAGATTTAAATGTCGAGTGACTTGGACATTTTGTTTAATGCATCAAAATGATGTGGTTTTCAACGAGTTTGTAATTTTATCAACAGGGAGGTCGAAACACAGAGAAAAGGTCTGCAAACTGACAAATTTTTTTGTTTTCAAAACTTCTCATCTTGAACTCAGTATGATCATCTGACTAAAAATCGACTTGGCAACATGGTTCGCTAAACTCCATTTTATCGCCATACTTCACTTAAATTTGTGTAAAATTACGCACAATTTCGTCCCATTTCCATGATTTAATATGTTAATTTTACTTTAAACATTTTTCTTCTTAGCTCTCTTCATGAGAAGACACTCATGTTTTTTCCGCTCTACAATTTGAGACGGAAAATCTTTCCTAGTCTCAGTGTGGTTTGCTTCTACTATGAAGCAGTAGGTAGCTTGGTTTATTTCGAAATAGCAGTACAAAGGCCATGGTAAGATATTATAGTAAGAATCATTTGAGTTGATAAATGAAAGGACATTTGAATGGTGTTAGATCCTAAGCATCAGTGTCTTTGAACTCCTATGTTGTATATGCTTATTGAGTCTTCTCTTGTAACCCCGTTTAACCTTTTGCCCCAACAGTGTCTAATTAACGTTTGTTTTGCCTCAGCCCAAGTCACGAACCCGTGAACTCTACGCGGAAACATGTCGCCATCTTGCAGCTTCAGGGATGATGGACACCGAGCTCTTCGGCTTGGCGACGGCGTCCGGTAAGTTTACATTTCATACTAAAGAAGTTGTCAGTAATATTCCTACTAATAAAACACATACATTAGATAACAGATTTGTTAGATGTAGATGGCCTTGCTAGACAAGTTCTTCCTTTGGTAGACTGCACGCATCACCTAAGATTCGATTCGGAGAGGTATACCTTCTTTACCACCTACATAGGTCCAAGACGGCGGCGCATTGAATTCAGTGATGTTACGTCTAATGACAAGCCATACGTTTATTTGCACCTTCCCAAACTTTCTTCGTCTTTTTCGTCGGACTGGATACAGCATCAGCTGAGATGCGGAGATCTGTTGACAAGGTTCTCTTCTTCGTGACTTACTCCAGATTACTCGAAAGTGTAGCAAATGAAGCGTTGATTAATCTCTCACATCTCTCACTTTAGGGTGTGAGTCCCTCTCCCTCTCTGTCTACTTCCCCCATGAGAAATCATTTGCAAAGTAGTCCTGCCAAAGGTAAATCAATCAATTTGAATTAGGATTTTCTCTATTTTCCTGGATTCTTTTTACACTATCTTTCCGTTTTCCACAAGTCACGACTCTAAACACACACTGCACTCTGCGTATACGTGTGCGTGTGTGCGCGTATGCAGGTGCAACCCAAGGCCGAGCCGAGGTCGACTGCCGAGTGCTGACTACCGGGAAGGGGGGGAGGGCATCCTAAATTTCGCCCACGGTTCCCCAGCTTCTCCGATCTGATAGATGGTTCATAGTAAATTTTCACCGCGCGAGGCGAACGAAACCCCGACACCTCCTTGTGTTATGGGAATTCCTCCCGAGTATTTATTGCTTTTGATTGAAATCGAACGTTTTTTGTCCGAGGGTATTTGCATAGTTATGCCTATCTGTTGTCACGGGTAGGAATGTTGATTTTAGCTTACGTACGTTGTTATTTATCTCACCTCCGGGCTCGGGAGGACGTGCGGTTTGATTCCGATTTTCGAATTGCCTTCGCGCTGCGATCCGATTTCTCTTAATTAAATCTGGAATGCCGGTCCCCCGGCGAAAATTCCCACATGTCTGAGTTTATGCCGTTTCAGAAGTTTTCGTTACGCTCGGCGTGTCGTGTTAGTGGAACTTTAAGATTCTTAAAATACTTGATTTTTATACCAGTAGTCTTAAAATTCTGGTTGAGCTACCAGTTTACCATGATTTATACATTCGGATCGCGAACTTTACTAGTTTATGTTTATTTAAAACATGAACCTTGTGGTGAAGTCATACGGATTTTGGTCTCTTCTCTTCCAAACGCTACAATTTCAGTGTTTATGCCAAGCGTATGATCGTAATCGTAATTCTACATTCGACATTCGATGCTCAGAAATTATTACAATTTATTACATGTGACAGAGTGCAACTAACCCTGACTTATACAACCTTTTTACTAACATTGTTAGAATTGGACTCCAGAACCACGGGTCTGGCTCGACAACGGGTCCGTCCGTGGCGCCGCCAGTGGATGAGGTGGTATTATTAGGGATGAGTTGATTACCTCTTAAAGTCAGTTTTTTATATTCTTGGTCGTGTGTAAAGAAGTATATATTTTGGAGATTTTGTTTGATGAAGTCGATTACTCCCTATGCGTTCACGAGAAGCTTTATCGAAAGATACTTCTGAAACCTTTCACCGTCTCTATTTTATGACCGTAGTTTAAATAACAGTTTGAATCGTATATTTTTATTCCGTTTGCCACTCGCCAAGTTCCTAGAAGTACGACACTTATACATGGGAATACCTTCTTGAATTTCCTTCGAAAAATAACAGTTGGAAGCGTGTATTTGTTTTTCAATTCACCAATAGCGAATATTCTACAACTGGGCTACTTGCAGAATATTTACCTTGGGTTCTCTTCGAAAATAACAGCTACAGACTTATATTGTTTTCTTTTCTTTCAATTTAACCACAAAGTTGCTATATCTGACAAACTTGCAGAGTATCAGAATATGTTCCTTATTTCCTCTCTAACACCAATTCACCACACTCAAACTCAAGCATCAACTATCAGTTAGACTATAAACATCGATGAGTCGATGACTCCCACATTGACATACTACGCCTTATCCAGTACCCCCCCCCCCCCCAATTACGATAGAACTAGAACTTTTACTAGCTATGTAAACTCCTACAACCCAAAACCGCGCATTTCCCCCGGGGATTTTGAAATTTGGGCGCGCAGTTCGTAAAGCTGAGCAAATCCAGGGTTCGGAATGCTGCCGAGCGGGTCGGCGCGCCAGCCTGTTGGAGTGGACTGTACTATGTCAGCCCTCTAATAGACGAGTGGTGGGTCGGGGGGGGGGGATTGTATTTTATAATATGCCCGGCTACCGGACTTGTGCGCTGCCTCGTGGCTGGACCCGTGGGCCGCGACCCAAACGTCGGTTGCCCTTTTGTTCCCGGTTTTGGCTGCAGCGGGGTCACCGATCCCTCTATATTCAATAACAGAAATGTCTTAAGCTTTAAGCTTAGTGTAAAATATTGTTTGCTGTGATTCACTTTTGGATGCTGAAAAACGTTTTACGTTATGTCAAAAAGTGTTTTTATATGGCATTGGATTTGCCATCTATATGGACCAACTGTGGCCTGTTTGTAAAAATAATATAGATGAACAGTCCCGGAGTGTGCTGCCGTCTTTGGTATACTGTAGTAGAAATCTCATCTATATGGACCAGCTTTAGCCATATTTGTATCCAAAAAGAATTTAGTTGAATGAGCCAAAGTGTACAGCCTAAAATTCTATTTGCTCCCTTGTGTTTTTGTTCTGTGATCGGTATAATTTACATTGAGTACCTCCTCTTTGAGTTCGTTAACAGTTCGTTGACAGGTTAAGGTGTAAGAGAGGGCCATGTGGCCCTAACTTTGCCTGATTGAATAAATCATTTTCATTTCATTTAATTTCGTTAAGTTGAGATATTCAACAAAATGGGTAGTTTACATCTGTTTCTATCAGTAGAGTAATTCAATGTTAGTATTTTTTTTATTGACTAAAATGTAAATACGAAAATGGAATGCCTAGTTCCATTCATTTTCATAGGCTTACTTGCACATCTTTAGATGTAACTCAACACTTTCCTCAAACGTAATTAAAACTCTTTTTAAATGACAACACTTAAGTTGATGGTGTGGAATTTGAATTTTTATAGTGTTAACAATATAATTTTCCTACAGTAACCTAAAAATGTACATGTTCTCTCACTGATTTGAGAAAGCAAAGTGGCCAATTCGCTCATCAGTGAGACAATGTTAACATTGTCTCACTCTAATTACTTTGTCTCACTCCAGATTTGCAACGTGAAGGCACGTTTCTCACTTTGCTCACTAGTTGCACAAATAACTATTGCACAGCAATGATAACAATGATTACACAGCACTTTCAAGTGTAATTCTTCCTCTTAAACAATAAGTACCCCGAGTTATCTTCTAAGAATTTGGCTGCACAATTCATTTGACTTTTTTAATTATGTAAACAGCTTCTTAATGTTTACACCGCTGAAAAAAATATTATGGTAACGAGTTAGCATCACTGAAACTAGTATTAAATTTGGGTTACAGCTAACATTATCTCAGTCTTTACATCTAACTAGATTCTATAGAAATACCTTACATTAAACTAACAGTTCTTTCTTTTAACGCATTGTCTTAATCCCAAAATGGTTTCTACATCTTCATTCAACAATTATAATTGTACTAGTGCACCTGTTGCCCTATTAATTGCAAAGTACAGGCGTTATTTCAAAACGAATAACAGTAATAATTTCCGATGCCTTACAAGAGTCAACTCAAAGATAATGTAATCAATCACTCCACTCAGTTGCCGAAACTGAAAACGAACTCACTCTGAACACGAACGCTCTTCTGTGTAACATGACTGTGTTTACTATGAACAGCTGTAATTATAGTTCGGCCGCTTAGAAAACGACCTGCGCGCTAATGCTAAACCAATGCTGGAGGAGGTCGCTTTCTAAGCGGCCGAACTATAGTAAAAATGCAAATTATTCGTCTGTTTCAGCACAATATACAAAATCTTATGGGATTTTGATGGCAAAGCCCGAGGACTTTTGTTACAGTACAGGAAATGGTGAAAGGGGGTGTCTATACAAAAATACTTAATTTTGACACATCGTTTGTAAAAATCCGTCCATTACTAACGGAGGAGTTGTGTTTCGTAGAAATCGCCTACTGTGTATATAAAAGGATGTTAATTGTCCCGTCCAGAAACTAGCTGATTATAAATATTTTCGTCGGTAACTTGCTCTGATTAGATTTTCTTTTGTGAAAATACCAAAGTTTTCCCCTAGGTTACTTACTACCAAGGATTACTAGGGCCTATCTGCATTGCAGTATTAAGTGCTCTGAGTATTAATTATCTTTATATATTTCGAAGGCTCCCATCCCACAACCAGCCGTGTAATACCATAGCCGTCTCTACACTGTATTCGCCAATACCAAAATTTGCCAGGTGTATTGTATTCAAGGTTTTCTGTATTTAGCATTTTTGTATCCAGCGGCATTACTCGAAATTTTCATAGTGGGTTATCAGCATAATTCTGATCAACCTCATTCAACATTTTGGTCGAAATCTGTTAAAGCTACTTCAATAACCCCACATTAAAGTCTCCAACTAGCGAGCACTCGCTGTTGTTGAGCCAACTCTTCCTTCGATTTACTTCAGATTGTTACCTTTTGTATGCTAAAACTTGAAACTATTTTTTCTCCGTCCCAGTACTTCGAGAGTAATTTTATTTCACAATGAGCAAAATATGATTGGTTATCTTGACAAATACTTTATAACCTTTCCGTTCCTGATATTTATATCTCTAAAAAAGTTTATCTCTAGGAAAAATTTATGGAACAATATAACAAATTTCTGTTACCAAGTTCATTCTGTTCCAGCAAAATGCCAAATTACTCCCAAATGACCATCCTGGCAATAAATACCGAATCGACGCGCAACAATGGAAAAAATGCCGAAATCCAAAGGT